GAGTGTGTGCTCTGGGAGTTCCTGAAACAGCAAGATCAATCCAATCTGGTTTCACTGAGGAAACCAGTCTGCAGCTGGGCCCTGAATGCATACAACTTACACAGAAAGGCAACGGCAGGTTCTTGGTGCAGAGAGATTTGTTTCTTCAGGCGCTGTGTGTGCGCCACAGACACAAAAGTGAGCAAAGCACATCCTGAGCCCTGTTTTCATGGAGCTTGTGGTCCAGCAATTGGTCTCCTTAGAGTAGAAGGTACTGGTGGTCATGATGAAAGCTGACATTTATTTAGGGCCCATGATTTGCCAAACACCACACTCTGCTTCACAAATGAGACTGCACTCTACCCCCTGGGCAATGAGGTCGGGTGAGGTGTATCACGGAGAGCTTGGAAGCCAGATGAAGCAGCTCCTATTTGCTCTGGAGGAAAGAAGATCTTTCGTTATCAGTTCTCTCTTCCTGATGTTGTCATCCCCCCTCTGCCAAAGTTAGATTCCCAAGGGAAACATAAAATTCAGAGGATCATCCAGATAAGACAAACTCTCTCTCTCTCCAAATCTCCATCAGCTTTCCTGCCACAGTGAACTACAATGGCCATGATGAAAGGAAATTTCAGAGTCACATTTTTCTTTCTCCCTCAAATCCTAAACCTGTGAGAAGCCATGAGAAACCAGTCCCCATGGTTTTCTTCATCCAGCTCCTGTACTGGCCCCTCCTTTAGTTTTTCCAAGATCCACAAAGAGCCCTCGAAGTCACCCAGAGACCAGAAGACCCATCTTTTAGGTGGCATCTCACCAGCAAAACATCCAAAGGAGAAGCGACGCTTGCAGAGTCCTCCTTACCTTCAGTTCTCCACCAGATCTTCACAGGGAAGAAAAGAGGATGAGAGAAGGGGTGTCTGCATGTTCTCCACCTCCAGAGAGGACCAGCGATGATTCCTTGACCTCCATCCCTTATTCATTTCTGAGGTGACAAATACCACTCCCTAACGAGGCCAGGACCGGAAGGTCAAGGTGAAGGTCAACCCACCTGGAGATGGAGAGCATAGAACTGAAAATGCTAATACAAAAATGGAAATCCTTATGCTCACAATGATCTGTTCATCAACCACAAAGCACTTCCAGAAACTTCACTTCATTGGACTCTCTCAGCATAGTAAGCAGATACTAATGTTGATGTTACTTTTTCCCCTTTTTTTCTAAACAAAGAAACTAAGGTACATAAAAAAGAAGTGACTCCCTATGGTCAGAGGGGTCAAACTCGCAGCCTGGCCTTCTGTGCTCGTCCTTTCCAGCACACCCACTCAGGAGTCTGGTGGACAGGACGCCAGAGAGAGACAGGAAAGCTTGCTTACTGGTCACCCCTGTGGTGCCATCTTCTAAGATTAGGGGAGTTTACCCAAAGAGTCTTGATTTCATTTTATAATTGCCTAGGATTCTACCCTCCAACAATATAAATCTTTCTCTTATAGTATTTGGTTTAGTCCTTGTAGTGAGTTGCATATGCTTACGATTCCTGGGTGAAGGAGTGCTATTTTTACTTTGCCCTAAAACCATTTTTTTTAATCATAAAGTTGTGCTTTATCATTCTTGTGCTCTGGGATTTAATAAGCTCATATTTTTATCCTATGATTTTCATTATTTTATAAATTTCAATCATATTCTCCCCTTAGCCTGTGTCTTTCCAGAAGGAAGAGCCCTAATTCTTTTATCATCCCTCACAAAGGATCTTCTCTACCCTCCGCGTCAATTTAGGTGTCCTTCTCTAGACCTTGTCTGGCTCTGAATGTCTTTGAGGTACGCCAGCTCATTGGACCCCCACCACTTTGTCCATTATTCTGTATAAAATAGCACAATGACTTCAGCTAAAATAAAATGTAGAAATATTAGAGACACTTTTGAAAATCAAACATTATTTTGTTCCATGTCAGCCCAGCATAGGCTGAAAAAATATACAGTTTCTTCAACTCGGAAGTGAATTTGAGCACAGTGGTACTGAGCAAGCTTGTAATCTGTTATGAAAATGAGAATTTGCAAAGCACTTTCACATACATCATCTCATTTGACCCTCACGTGAATCATGCAAGGTAGAAAACCCATATTATTCTCCTCATTTTTCACATAAGTAAAAAATAAGAAAGTTGAGTCTAGCTGAAAGTCAGACAGCTGGAATTAGAGACCCACTAGCTGGCCCTCCATCACAAGAATGATGCTCTATTCACTGTGCGATATAATGTTCCTTGTAACCACTTGTGATTTATTTTAAATCACAAAATCACCACCTCTGAGTCTCTTTCAGTGGTCCACGGCATAGTCATGAAATATTTTATGGTCATATTGAAAGAAAAGATGATTAAGGTTGGTCTAGACCCTCTTAACCATGCTCCCCAGGGGCAATCTCAGCCACATCACAGGCATCAATGTCACCTCCTTGAAAACAACTCCCCAACTTGTGTCTCTAGGCCATACCTTTATTCTGAGCAACAACAAGGATATAAAACTGCATACTTGATATCTTCTGGATGTCTTGATCTGCACAAAACTTCACCTTCTGCCCCCATCATATTCCCCTCCACTGCCAAAACCTGATCCTCTTTGACATTCCTCCTCTCAAATACCTATCCAGGAACCTAGGAGCCACCTTGACATTTCCCTCTCCCTCCCCTAACCCCACCCATGTTCAATCTAACACCAAGTCCTTTTGATTTTATCTCCTGCACAACTCACTGTTCTGTCCACTCGCCCCCTCCCCACCACCACCACCTTGGTACAAGAAACCATTGTCTCTTATTGGATTTTCATTGACTCCTAATAAGTCTATTCTTCTCCAATCCTTTCCCCTCACCATATATAGCTGACGGAATTCTTCCAAAAATGCCATTCTTGTCATTCCGCCCCTAACCCACTCTGCTCAGAACACTTCAGCAGTGTCACACTGATCTTAGGGTAAAGGCCATAAATGGCCCACAAGTCCCCACCTCCAGCCTCTTCTCACAACACTCACCTTCATGTCTCAAGCTCCAGCCCCACTAGCCTTCTTTCAGCCCCCTTTACTCACCTTTTTTTTTTTCTTTTGCCACGGTGTTCTAAAATGTTCTCCTCTACTTAAATTCCCAGAATTAGATTTCTAGAAGCCTCCATCTTCAGATAGAGACTCAAGGGTGCCTCCTCCAAGAAATCTTTCTCGACCTCCCTGAGTTAAACTACGCCATCGTAGTTTGCAAGGCACTGATTTTGCATGGTTTCATGAATTTATTAACATCTGTCTCCCCGGTGGGTTTATAAACTTCTGCTCACCGCCGTATTCCCTGTGCTGAGCTGAGCTGAGCACACACATGTATATCAATAACTGTTTGTTAAATAAACCCACTAACCAGGGAATGACTGTATATGATAACATCCCCATTATGGAATACTAAGCAGCTGTTAAAAAGAATGAGAAGAATGTATTTACTAACATGGAATGATGTCCATGATAGATTATTGATCTAGCACAGTGCATTACACAACATTATGCATACGATAATCAGTTATTTTTAAAACCTACGTATGTCTTTATTTTTTAAAAACACACAAACCACCTCTGTGTGTGCATATCATTTGCATGTGTCTTACAAGGACTGCAAGACTAACAGCAAACTGCTCACAGCGGTTTCCCTGGAGAATGGAGACGGGATAGAGGAACATAGGAGGACAATTTCTATTCATAAACTTCTTTCTGGTCTGACTTACTTCAGTGACCATGTGGCAGTGCTGTAATTATTTTAACAATACCACTTTTCACTTTTCAAATAATGACGCAATTCACTAAAGTTCGGGCAACTGACCCGTTTGTTTCTAAATACAACAAAAGGGGGGGGCTGCTCTGTATATGATTCCTTGACAATAATAAAGTTCCAGGAAGCAGCGTATTTCCAGCTCAGCTCTTCAATCCGGCAATAGCTGCGATGAAGAGGCAAAGGGGAAAAGTGCAGTTAGAGATGCCAGTTCATGTTTGCTCGGGTCTCCCCCACCACTTAGGCAAACAAAAAAACTGGGGGAAAGCATTGCTCTTGGACTTCATGACACAGTATAAGAAGAGGAAAAAACAGCGTGAATTTTTTCTTAGTTTACTTAGATTTTTGTTGTTGTTAAAGTGATTATGTGACGACACCTTTATTTTCCTTCACTTGCCAAATGACTCATCTTTTGTGGTCTTTGCAGTAGCTCAAATGGAAAAGATAGCTCCATAAAGCCATGCAGGTGGCAGAGGAGGGAGCAGGGACAGAGATACTGATGGCATGCAGACAGGATTGTTCCACAGCTAACAGCACAAAGCCTCGCTCTGGTGGGAGGCTGAGAGAGGTGTGAGCAGGTGGACAGACCCAGCTCCCGGAGGAGGGAGGCCGGGGTGTGGGAGTCACTTCGCCTGCAGCCAGCCTACCAGGGTGAGCTGGGGACAGTCCATGAATACAGAATAAATGCTGTTGCTTGGAACTACATTGATTCTTTTTTCGGATTAATGGCTCAGAGGGAACAAACAAACAATGCCTAAAAT